GGATCACAGACATGCTTGAAATAAGGCACGTGCATCTTGTTAGATTGGGGCTGCAGTCATCAACTTCTCTGTGACCGTCTAGATAGAACTGCCAGCAGACCCATAGGCTACTATTGACTCTAGCCATTTACCGCTCGCCTTGTTAAGGTATATATGATATCTACACATATATATGTAAATTGTACTGTGACTTTGTTTCTAACCTTCATTGCTTTACAAAGCACGTTGTGGGTTTTTTTACTTTGTCGTTTTTTAGGTCCGTCCATATGAATTTTTTTTCTGAGAAGCTTTTGAGTTTTTTGTACTCTGTCAAAACCCTGGCTGAATCTGCTGAGAAACACGAAAATGGTGGGTTACTCTCACTTCTGCTGCAATCAATGTCTGCTCCACTCCCCTGTTTACCTGGGTTTCTTTTTGCTAAAGGGATTGTGGTTTTTTTGAACAGATTCCAAGAAGTTGCTAATACCATTTGTGAACTAGAGCTTGGAGGTTGGCAAACTGTTACAGTGGAGTGTATTGCTGGTGAATCAACATGGGCCATGTCCTGCCTTTGCAAAGGCACAATGAGAGGGGAAGGATGCCCCTTCCCCTGATGAGCCAGGACGGGGAGCATGCTCCATCTCTTTCTTCTCTAGGAGATGTTCTAGGTCACCTTCTCCATGCATTTTAGAGTAAGGCCTTGCAGTGGGATCTGAGATATCCAACTGAGTGCTTGGATGCTGGGCAGGGAGTCAGGAATGAGGAAAAATGGCACTGGGACTAGGTCAAGTTGGAGGGGACCCCAAAGCAGAGGTCAGGCATGTTGGGGGCAGAGAGTGTGCACAGGGGCCTGGGGTCACTCGAGTGAAGCCCCCTTCAGACTCCTAAATTATCATTAGTCTCCCCACTCTTGTGCTCTCAGCAAATTTCTGTGAGCCTTACTTATAAAGTGCCCCCCACCCCCCCACCACACACACCTCTCTCTAAACCGGTGGCCGGAGAGGTGGACAGCCATTGGGTCACAATCACCTTGCGCTAAGCAACCCCCTGGCCATTGTCTCTTAGCATCAGATGCTCTGCCCCATGATTGGCTATGCCTGACTTATTTGAATAAAGGCCATATCCTTCCTCCCAGTAGGGTTGGAGTTCTGTTGTAGCCACGGTGGTCTGGGCAAATGCAAGGATCAAAGTGATTTTAGTGACATCTTTTCTTGGACTCACCAAAAAGTTGGGGAAGTATTCCTCACTTCAATTTCTATTTTTTCTGCCATGTTTTTCTCTTTGTTGCAGTCTTTTTGCTTAGTTAGAGAAGTTTCTGGGCACCAGGTGCCCTTCTTCTGTGTTTTTATCTAACATTGCTCCCAAATTTGAGACCTGGCCCAATAAAAGTCACCCCCAAAAGTGTCCCGACCATCCTCTTCCTTCTCACTTGCACTGCCTGCATCAGGCACAGAGAGACAGAGTCCCTAGCTACATGCTTGACTTCGTCACCCCCTCCTCCTCCTGCCCAACCCTCCTCCCTTCTGCCCACCCACCTGAGCCATCCAAGTCCCCCAGATCCCTTCAAGCACAGCACAGCTGCTCTGCACAACCAGGGGTAGGACTGGTGGATGCAGGAGGAGCAGGGAAGGGAGAAGTAAGGGAGGGTGGA